TAAAAATGCTCACTGGGAAGCACAGCCAAAATTCGAAAGAGCAAAGAAGCACTGTGCTCGGACTAAAAATGCAGCAAATTTTCCCGCACCCCTCGCACTTTAAATTAGACAAGTGTGTTTTTTAAACGAAAGCTGTTTGACAGTCACAGGTATGGCAAAAATAAATCACGTCTTCACCGAGATTATCGATTCCGTTTGCTCGTCAGCCCTGATTCAGTCTGCCTTCGTTTCCGTCTTCTTTGCTGATCATTACTTTCATCCATTAAGGTCTTCTTCTCGTTCTCCTCTAACTAAAATCTAATACAGTGTAGAAACAACATGCCGCATATTGTGTTTTCGGAAAGCCTCAACTGAATAATGGTTTTACAGTTTTTAAGCAAAAAATGTAAATTTATGTGTGCGGTGGTTAAGACAGGGCAATACCCTCACCTAACTTTATACACAGAAAACTGAGAGTAACGCAGCCGATACTGCTATCTCCTAAAACAGGCGAAATAAGGATTTGCATAAAAAATACAGCTCCACTTATGAGCCAGAAATCAACCGGATTTTTTATGCGCTTTTTGCACATTTGCAAATCGCAAATACGCATATTGGCAAGGGGCTGTATTTGTGTGTCTGTGTGTTCGCACTTTTTGTCATCCAATTTCAATTCGAGAACCAGAAAATAAGGATGAAACTTCGGGAGTATGTGCCTATACCATGTCTTACCCTCTTGTTTTAATATCATCGTCCGCATGTGCCTGGGTTTCACGTACGCCTTAAAAGAATATGCAAATTTTTTATCGGGAAAGCATTCTCGGGATCCAGCCAGGTAGTGAGTTGGAACTTTGCACGGATATTCTCTGTGCATGTATATGCTAAAAATTTTAAATTCAGCCCCGAGCGGTTCGTGGTCACAAGCACGAGCACGTGAAAATTTTGGGGGGAAAACTGCTAATTTGGTAGCCAGAAAAGCTGGAAGGCTGAAATTTTGAGGGAATGTTCCCTGCCCACGATTTCAAATTTAGCCCTTAAATATGCGTGGTTCTCGTGTATGGGCGCTTAAATTTTTTGGCATGAAAACTGTTCATTGAAAAGCTAGGTCGTTTTTAAAAAACGACCGCTAAACGGAAATTGTTTATTTTCGTTTGTGAAAAATTTATGATGATTTACGGTAGTGACCGCACAAGGTATGAAACAACAACCATTCATGCTGTTATTCTAATAAATTCAAGTTTGGTGCAAAAACGCATAATCGAACCGGCAAAATTAGTGCGTTCCAGCACAGGTTTTTTCTTGAAGAACGTATGCTGGTATCAAATAGCACATAAAGCTGAATTACTCATAAGGGATGTAAACAAACTTTGAAAAACCACTTTAGCTGAAGGAAAAGGTCCTGTCCTTATCTCTGAGGATCCAGAAACGAATAATTGGCTAATGCACAGGCTGCCTGTGCGAAGATGCGTTTTTTGTATAGTTCCAAGCAGATTTTGTCGCTACCGCGCCGGTTTTTCCGGCAAATGCTTCTAGCTAAAAAAATTAAGACTGGCCGCCAGAACTGTCAGGAAACATCCCCTCAAAATTTCAACTTGCTAGCTTTCCTAGTTCTTGAGTTAGCAACTTACTCGAAAAAAATCTTCACGGGCCCGTACGTGGATACCACGCATACCCGAGCGCTGGGTTTAGACTCATCAGTACATACTTGGACGGGGAACATCCCCTTAAAATTTCAGCCTTCTAGCTTTTCGGGTACTCGGGTTAGCAGCTCACCCAAAAAAAGTTCGGCGGGCCCGTACGTGGGTACCACGCGGGTAAAAGCACCCATTTCGGAGATGGGGACCCGAACAATATGTGGATTAAGTTCCACAAGTTTCAGCCCCGTAGCTTTTGTAGGTCTCGAGATGAAAAATCGGCACAGACGTGCAGCGCACACGCAGACACACACACACACACACACAAACACACACAGGCAAACAACCTCTCGTCAATATGCGTTTTTCGCATTGCAGAGCTGCAAAAAGCGCATAAAATGTTGGAGTGTTTACAAAAAGTGATTTCTTTTGAAAGCAAGTTCCGCCGGTAATTTTATAAATTTTTTATTTAAAAATATAAAAAAAGTTGTACAATCAACTATTTCGCAGTACAGGAAGCTGAGATCAACTCATTTTAAATGTATTAACATTCGTTTGGAAGTTTTTTCACACAAAATTTATAAATAAAAAAAAGAAAAAGATATTAATCAAGGACACATTAAAAGGTAGAAAACAGAAATAGAAACTTACGCAGTCCTCCGGGAACATTTCATTTTCGAATCTTCTTGAGTATTTAGCAAACCTGTAATCAGCAAACATTTGTACGTGTCTTTTGAGGTGCTCCTATCAAATACCGTTCAAAAAACATGCAAGTTTCATAAGTTGCTATTAAGCATACGTTGACTGGGATGTTGTTAGCTGCCAACCGGACCCATCCTTTGCGTCTCCTTCACCGCACACGAATTCATCGGTTTCAATAGCTTGTGCTGAAGGGTCCTCAATTTTTCCGCTCTTCAAATCGCTGTAGAATTTCATCAATTCCTGAAAAATATGCAAAATCGCTTAACTCTGCTTATGGAGTTGATAAAATTTCGAAAACACGAATGAACTGTTCAGCTTCAAAAAATAAAATTGCATTTCTGCAGAAAAATTATACGAATTAAACAGCAAGTACAGAGATGATACCTCAACTTCGGGATTGAAACCTTGGAACGACATTCGTCCGAACGCAAGATCCTCCAGCACTTCATACCGATTTTCATATTTCACCGATCTGGAATGAAAAAACAGAAATGCTGCGGCCGGAGACGTAAGACATCTGAGTTTTGATGAGACAGACACACTGGGCTTGCTTCGACATGTATCAATGCATTCAAACTGTCAAATTAGAATCAATGCACCTACTTCTTCGACAGAGTATAATGATACACACACGCACACACGCACACACACACGCACACACAGACACACACACACATACACATCTACGCTGAAACTCACGCTTACGTTCTAACAGCCGAATTAGGAAAGGCACTGTAAGCATGATCATACAATATGCAGCGTCTGTTTATGGAAAATTATCTGACACTTCTGGAGAAGAAGATACTGGGTCATCGGGCGTTTCAGTGGCTGTCTTGTTTTGCTGTTTTCCCGGTTTCTGCTTTTTTTTGCTATTCTCTTCCAGTCGTTTTCTCGTTCTTTCCATAAACTGCAAAATAACCATTTTGATGGTTCCATATCGAAAAAAAAGAAGAAAAAATGATTATTTCTCAAATGTGCAGTGCAACACAGGCACTCCGCTAACAGAACAAACAAAAGCTAAATGTAGTCATTTTTATGCGTTTTGTGCGGTGTAACAGCAATATAAAACGCATATTGTCACGGAGTTGTCTGTGTGTGTGTGTGTGTGTGTGTGTGTGTGTGTGTGTGTGTGTGTGTGTG